CCGATGCAGCACTCACGGGTCAAGCTGGTGTGGGTATCATTCTAAGCTCCAAGGCTGAATCGATTGGATTCCGGTGAACAGCCGTTTATGCGCAGCCTGTTTGACGACATCAGCCAAGGTTGATTCACGAAGTAGTACAAAACGCTGTTTGTTTGTGATTTCCGCTTATGCTCCCACCAACTGCAGTTCAAATGATGTCAAGGACACATTCTATCACGAACTGGACGCGCTAATACGCAGTGCTAGTAGTTCAGATATTATAGTACTTGCAGGGGATATAAACGCACAAGTAGGGCGTCTGAGCTCTTCAGAAGCTCAGCTGGGTGGTAATTATGGGCTTAACTCCGAACGGACTGACAACGGCGAGAGTCTGCTGCAATTGTGTGCGGAGCACCAGTTGTTTCTTAGTAGCACTGCTTTTAGACACAGTGGGCGCCAAAGTGCCACTTGGCGTCCCCTTGTAGCTGGCCAGCGATGGACCCAATTTACCACATAGCCATAACGTACAGGTAGCGTGGTTCCATCCTGGATTGCCGCTCGTACTGGAACACCTGCGTCGACTATGATCATGCCTTGGTACGCTGTCGTTTCTCCGTGAACTTTACCGGGAAGCACACCACGCGTCCCCTCCGATTGGCAACGGAGAAATTGTCTCAGCCCTCGGTTAGGCATGCCTATCAAAACGCACTGCATACCGAACGTTCGCTGTCTTGTTCTAATGACACTGATCTTCAGTGGAATAGGATCTCGGTCGCCATGCACGACGCGGGAGCATCTGCTTGTAGCACTAGCCCTCGTCAACGAACCAGTCACTAGATATCCGAGAGGTCGGTGGACCTGTTGGAATCTAGAGGAAATCTCCCGGCTGGCTCTGAGCACGATGTGACCAGACGGGCTATTAGGCACGAACTAAAGCGGAGCCTACGTGCTGACAAGTGAGCCTGGTGGAGCATTCGGGCTCAAGAAATGGAGGAAGTAGGAGCAGTAGAAAATTACCGCAAGCTCTTCCAGCTAATCCGAACCACTGGTCCCTGGAAACCAGGCGTCAGTGAGACAATCGGAGACAGCGCTGTTGCGTTGATACACAATAAGGAGCGCCGTATGGCTCGTTGGGCGGAACACTTTCAAGCGCAGTTCGGTTGGCCCCCTGCTCGCGGACCTCTTCCTACACAGGTGATACAGGACGAGCCATGGACGGTTAGTATAGAGCCTCTGTTGGAGGTCGGGGTCCGAAACGCGATCACAGCTCTCAGTCCTTTTCATGCCGCTGGCCCGGATTCCCTCCCACCTGCACTATTTAAGGATGGAGGTGAGGTCCTCTGCAAAGCACTGACCTTGCTATTCGAACGTATCTGGAAGGAAGAGAGTGTCTTGGCTGATTGGGGCGAATGGATTATTATGTCAATATACAAGGAGGGCAGTTGCACAGATTGTGCTAACCAAGGAGTGTTAGCCCAACGCCAGTAGTGACAAAATGACTGGCCTCGATTATCGTTCGTCGCCTCACTGCGGAACGGGAATCTCGGATTAGGGAAGAGCAGGCAGGTTTCCGCCCAGGGCGTGGCTGTATAGACCATATATTCACTTTGCGACAGGTGCTAGAGCAGCGCCACGCATACCGCAGACCGACAATAGCTGTGTTCCTCGATTTCAAGAGCGCGTTCGATTCAGTTGCCCAATGCATTCTGTCCGAAATACTTAAGTGAAATGTGTTCCTACGAAATGTGCGAACATCCTTCGTGCACTATACTCGAACACTACAAGCTGCGTCAGGGTATAGGATGGCCTAGTAGATAGCTTTCCGACCATAAGTGGCGTTCTTCAGGGTTTCCCGACTTTCCCATTTTTGTTCAATATTGTCGTGGATTCTATCTTGGAGTGTCCCATTGCGGAATCTCAAGATGTAGGCGTTGAAGTGCTGCCTGGTGAAAGGTTAGTTGATCTAGATTATGCGGACGATATCGTCTTGCTTTTCGACGATGTTGGGGCGGCACAATCAACCCTGAATAGCTTGTCCAGAGTAGTTCCATTATTTGGTATGCACTTCGCACCTTCAAAGTGCCAAGTGTTGCTGCAGGACCACCAGACACTTGCTGACCTCTTGACGCTTGCTAACGAGAAACTCGAGGTGGTTGATCATTTCACTTATCTTGGCAGCTGCATCAGCATGATGGGCGCATAGAAACTGACATCAACTCACCCATTGCAAAGGCCAGAGCTGCGTTTTTGAACCTGCGGCATCTTTGGCGACAGAGTGGAATTTTCATCCGTCTTAAAGGCTGTGTAAACAAGGCCACAGTGAGGGCCATTCTGCTCTATGGTAGTGAGAATTGACCCCTTCGGTCTGAAGATCTGAGGCGCCTTTAAGTCTTTGATCATCGTTGTTTGCGAAGCATTGCAAGTGTCGGATGCCACCAGTGTGTCCGCAACGATGATCTGCGTATGCGAGTACTAGGTAGTGATAAATATGCCAGCTTCCTAGAACTACAGATAGCACTGAATATGTTGCGTTGGCTCGGGCACGTGTAACGTATGCCTGGTCACCGCTTACCTAGGAGGGCCTTGTTTAGTCTGCCAGATGTAGGGTGGCACAAATTTTGAGGTGGACGAAACTTGACTTGACATTGGGAAATGAAGTTACTGACGACCAAACTGGGTATCGTTGGTCCGTTCTGCCTTCCAGGCTGGAGTGCACGTGACTCGTCTTGTGCTTGGCTCGAGACTTTCCAAGACATGGCTCGCAACCGACACCAGTGGCGCATCTGCTGCCGTCTCCTAATCGGATTGCCTGTTTAAAGTGTGTTTGGTGATGAGTTATCTGCGGGGTAATGGCTGATTATGACGCGTGGCAGTGAAAGCCGCAAGGAAGCTGTCTCGCCGATGCCACCTTATCTTGACACGATAGCCAGCGGTATGTTTTATACACATGGTGTAGGCGCTTTGGCCCTGAATGTTTGCTTAGGGCATTAAGGTTATCAGGTAAGTCCCCCTTCTCTCCCTCTTCTTATTCTTTATTTCATAGGTCCTCATGGTTGTATGGCACCGAAGCATCAGTACAACTGGTTGATGTACTGCTGTTGTTTTTTGATGATTGCTAAGTATACGCGTTTGACCACTCAGCTTTAACAGTCTTCGCATGTTGCCGACCAACATTTCTACGTTATCATTTTACCAGTTCCACACGCAACGCATTTGCTCGACCATTTGCACCGCCCAGTGCTTCATCCCGTTTCCCCTGTGAAGTGACGAAAAGCGCGACTATTATTTAAGAAGTACCTCGCCTTACAACTGCAGTCGCATACAGCTGCTGTGCGTTTGCTCTCTATCAAGGAGGACCCCACATTTACCCTGGGCCACCTGAATATTATTTTCGCCATCTCAGCATTCAGCTTTATGTGGTATGTTTGATGAGGCCAAAACCTACAGAGAAAAAGAAGCACCGCAGGATGACGGTTGCCCGCCCCTCAATGAGGGCTTAGGTTGTTAGGAGAATAGCTATTTAACATTCCTTTTTGGTGAACGAACTTAATAGCCGTACTTTATTTTTCTTATTTTCTACTTCTTGACTGTTGTGTAAGCTCTCCACTGTGTTAGCCTGATTGGTACACATACCTCATTGTTAATTGACGCTCGTCTCCGTGTCATTTTCAGCAGTACCATTTGCAAGAACACGTTCCATTGGTGTTTATCCGCGTCGCTTTTCTACTTGGTTATGTTAAAAGAGTATTTAGTTGTTACACACTTACTGGACTAGATTGTAATATTTGGGTTTGCACTTCTTCTTCGCTTGTTTCGGGACATTTGTTTAAACGCTTTTATTGCGTTATTCTGATTGACCAGTGCCCGTCACTGTAAATGGATGTTCCCTTTACGCTTGGAGTCCCAGGATGCTATTTCCAAGGACATATGCGATTCGCTCTTGATTACACGGTTGCTTATTCTCCCGTTGCATTTGACGTTTTGCTTCTGTTGGTTGGCTCACGTGTAATTTAGTAGCTTCCCTTCCTTTTGTTTACAAAACTATATAAGCAAATTTGATTTCATGTATACAAGTCTCTTTCTGGCTCGTCTTTGGACTTCTTCATGCGGTCGTGGGGTGAAGACATCAATGGCGACACAACGAAGGGTGAGCAGCGGCTTGTAATCAATCCACCAGTCTATTTGCCAACCTGTTCTATTGGAAGCGGCTGCCATCGGCTCTTTGTTTTTAGTGGTGCCGAAAGTAATACGAATTCCAATTTACGACCGAATTTTGGCTCGGCGAAGGTAGTTTATGCCAAGGGTCCATCCAGACTGATCATGTTATGAGTAACATAGCTAGCAGTTAAAACAGAAGTTTGTCGTCTTACAGTATTCCCCTGTATCCAGGATGTAAAGGCGGCCGTACTCTTTGGGGGTTGATATCTGACTTCTGGTTAAGAATACACTGAACATTGAAACTTCTGATATCAGATGATTGCAGTGCCAAACATTGGGAAATGGGCCTGGTAAGAGGTTTTGCAACTGGACCTTGGAGAGCTTGTTGTTTCAGTGATCGTAGAGTATCAGATGAAGCTCATCTTCCCTGCTTTATGATGACTCTATCTTCCTGAGCACCACAGCCTACAACAGTTTTGTGGACCTCAACCTTGGATGATGTCTACATCAGCTTTCGGAAGTCTGGTGTCTTTCTTCTTAACCGGATAACGCGCCAGTGTCCCCGGGATGAGACCCAGATGCTAAGACCACAGATTTACTCATACTTTAGAAACGCAATGTGGGCTCAACACAATGTCTCTAACGCTTTCGGAGACGCTTTGAACAAAGCATGTCCTCCGGCTTTTACCCTGTTTCTGCCCCCCCATCCAAGGTTTGTCTCGGTGGACAAGAACTTTACCCTTTTAGACTATTGTTTTACACGCCTAAATAAGAGGTCACTTGATTTAAAGACTAATATACTGCTGAACTTATACCCGATCATGTGTACGTGTGATAGTGTTGTGTCCATATCTTTCTCCTAGCTGTTTACAAGAGCGGGGATACGTATTTTTGCGATGTGCCCCGACACCTCACATCAGACGAAACACATCCGAATCAAATTTGTTTTCTTTCACATGGGGAAACATCCGCATCATACAACAGCTACCCGAGAAGGACGATCCGGAAATGGAGGAAGCCAAACAGTCCGTCTTGGAATATGTGACACTAGAGCGCGCTGGATTGTTGCACGGTCAACGAGTGTCTGCTGTTACAACGGTTCACGCACATCCAAGGTAAGATGGACGAGAATGCATTAGCCAATGAACGTGAGACTAGTTGATCCAGTTTCAATACCCCAACTGAAAGGTAGATGCTAGAGGCTGAGCAATTGTGGTGGGTAACACCTTTAGCTTGCCAAATTAAGCAGGTTTACCTAGCATGTATCACAAGTGTATGCAAACAGGGTTTATCAGCCCGATTTACTGTTGGAGGGAAGTTGAGAACCTGGAACTCTAGCTCGAACTAAAGTGTAGACAATGTGAAACTAGGGATAGTTTATTTTTGTTTTTGTTACATAGGTGGTAGCCTGAGAATATCTAGTTCTTGTCCTTTCGAACTATGATTATGCTTTTTTCTGTTCTTTATTGTAACCTTGGTACCATACAGAAATAGCTTCTCGTTTAGAACAGGTTCACATGCTAGCGGTGGATACGCTTTCGCTGTATTTGATTCATCCTGAAATCCAGTTCACCGTCATGAGTGGATGTAGTGAGTATAAGAACCTTTAGCCAGCTGGGTTGCTATTCCACACCATAACTCGAAGGGCGCATGAGCGATTATAGACAGACACTACACAGTTGCCTACTACTACAATCTTCGATGTGAACGCAATCGAAAATATGCTGGGACAACACCGGTTCCAACGATAAATACCGATTCTGTGAACAACCATTGTATATAGTATAAAAGTTTTGTGAACCAAGTTTGGGACAGTACTCTTGTGAATCCAACGCCCCGGCTGTAGGTCTCGTGGGACCCTGTTCGTTGTACCTTCACGAACAATACCACACTCACATCTCATGTATTGTGGGGATCAGGCCGAACAAGACTTAAGTGCAGCTCAGCTGAGGGCGCAGCGCAAGCACTTGGCTATCTACGAACCCAAATACCACTTTTTTGTTTATACACTACTGTTGCGTGTCTGTGATCGAGAAAAACGCAAGAAATGACGACATCATCTCGCAGACTACATCTTCTTTTCCTGTTTGGAATTGCCTCGTACACTCGGGCCTGAGGTTTAACTTCCCTCAGGTTATTGTGTGGTCGAGGCAGGGTTAGCTGTAAGGATGTTTGAGATTTGGACAATACAATACATCTGTTAATCGGCACACATTACACCACATTCAGTTCTGTCGTGTCTGGACCTGAAATCAACTGCTGCGATCAGCTTCTGTATGTCCTGCAGCTACTGGAGCCACTGGCACCGAGTGAACACTCAGTGGTCATCACCAGGATAGAGCTGTCGCTGCTATACTCGCGTCTACAGGAGCCTCCATATAAATACCGAAAAATTAACTTCGATGCTCTCACTCGAGCCTCTAGGCAAGTGGGCTGATCACTGCTGTAGAAGAGTATGTAAAATCTTTGTGCAATCGGTCCAAACCTTTCATTTATTGGAAAACCGAGCCAGTGAAGCCACACTGACTCAATAAGGAGTGTGATCAGTTGGTTAGACGGTGACGCGTACTATAAAGCAGTTGCTTTCAAGCTGTCTCTGTCGACAATAACTAAGTAAACAGGGATATCGGAATGTATGCAACAGTGTGAAAGCACGGATGGTTCTGTACTTCAAAGACCAACTTTCAGCTGCATCGAAAACGGCTTCCAATGTGCTTTTTTCTAACGTGAAGCGGCGCTTGAGGTCTGTAAGTGACGTAGTCGTGTTGGGGGCTGGGATGCAGGCTCAACTCGGTTTCATGGATAGCCACTCATGGGTCACCAATTTTCTAGTGAAACGGCACGAAAGGCTGCAGATGTTAAACTGGGGGAAATCAGTGGAAGTGATCAACAATGATTTCGCTTACATGTTCGACAAGGTGAATCATGCGGTCCTACACATGCTGATGATGTGCAGTGTTGGTGGCTCATTGCACAAATGGATCAGAGGCTATTTAATAGTCAGAAATAGAGAGTACTGGTGAAGGAGGATCATCTAACTGACTGGTATCCCTCCACCAGTAGGTTACCTCGTGGCACAGTACTGGGGCGCATTTTATTCCTGATCTACATCAACGAATGCATTCAGTTTCTTCGGTTGCCTCGTGCTCTGTTTGCCGACTAGTTGAAGGTGTGGAAAGCAACGGTTGCTCCTGAGGAGTGCGACGTCCTTCGGCATGACCTCGACCTCCTGTCCATATGGTCTGCACATGTCGCATGGATATTTGTGAGTCTGGGGTAGGGAGATGGGCGTACGCACACTCTAGTTGATCAACCTCTACATGCCACACCTTCCTTAAAGGGTCTAGTAGTGCTCTCATGCTGTGATTTGAAGTCCGTGCATAACACGATCAGACAATACGAAAGAAGTCTGCGCAAGCTTTGGGCGCACGAACGCACTTGCTCTGAATGGACTGCCACTCGACTCTTCTTTTCCAACGTAAGACCGGTACTCTAGTACGGATAACTCGCCTATTGTCCGATCCCCCATAGCTAGGTGCTTAGACTGGAATGGGTCCAGCGTGCAGCTATTAGAATCATCTCGCTTAAGGGGTAGACTGTACGAAGACCGATGCAGTAGACTGGGCTGTTGACCCTGTCATATCATCGGTTAAAAATGGACCTCATAATGACGCACCGGGTGTTACACTTGGGTAAGTTTCCTATGCAGAAACCGCTACTGCACATGCGCGCACCATGCAACACTTGTGGGTATCGATACAAGCCGGTCTTATCCAGCCTGAAATGAATAGCTCACCTTCGAACGTCGAGTGGTGAAATATTGATACAGGTTGTTCTAGACAATAGTCTTGGAGGGATCGGTGCCAGAACTTAAGTAGTTTCTGGACGTTCAGTTTGCGATTTACAGATTTCAAGAGTACATCACCTCTGATCATGAGATCTCATAACCTAAATGTGCTGCGCATGCGCGGGAATACATGGCGTTATTCCACGTGTGTGCCCGAGATCACCCCAATTAACTAACACAGAACTATGTCTTCTAGTTCCCTATTCTCTGTATTCAGTATTCCGTATTTCTAACCTCTCACGAATGAGGATGGCAGATCTACACAGGATCTGTCGCCATTGAACCGCCTCCTTCATGGGTGAAGGGTCAAGCATGGGTATCGAAACTGAAGTAACTGACTGGTCAACTGCCGAAGCAGACGTAACTAAACCAAACAAACTAAAGTTAACATTGACTTCGCAGCAATTAATACAGGCGACCATGAGGTGCAGCATGAGACCTCCCGAAAGCAATGAATCATTGGTCACCTACTGCTCACAGGAAGGATCAAACAATGGTAGATACCAATGAGTATATTCATTTGGACTGCGCGAGAAACTATGTACAAAGTCGATATAGAATATCTTGTACAGTCGATGCGTGCGTATGCCTTTGTCTTCCCTAATCCTGTTGTTGAATAAGTATAAAATTCCTGAGATTAGAAACAAATGGAAGACTCGCAGTTTGGATTACACAGTAGGTAGGGTTGGCGTTGTGCCTGTGTGGGACAGGTTAACTATTCATGCAGGGCAAGATAGTCCTGGTGGCTTGTGCGTGTACATATTCCTAGAGTGAGGAGTTGGCGGTTAAGCATCAATAGTTAGCTATTTCTTCCCCGTATTCACACGTGTGTCACTAGTCAAAATAGGATCCGCTGATAGAAAGCTTCAGCTTGAATTCAGCTTTCCCATTTTTCATCATTACACATAAATACCTTCATTGTTCGTGTTAATTTGCTTGGATGCCAGGTGGTGCTTGTTCGTCAATAATCCAAACAAGTACTATGTGGACACGTGCACTGGAACATTTCTGACACATTCATTTCTTCACTAGATGCAGGTAAACAATCAGATACAGATGTATGAGGTGCCTGGGTACCTTCCGAATACCTGTAAAACTCCACGCCTGTGCCTCTAGAAACATTTGCCAGAAGGTTTTCTCATGAGCATATCATCATAGTTGTGCCCCAAGTTAAGTTATCCAAGTTCAGTGCGTGATGTTACTACATTCTAACAAGATCTGATGGAAATTGCGGACCGTTTCACCAGGCAATGCATCTGACCAGGAGGAAGTTGAAGTGCAATTTTGTTCCAGAATTAGCTGCAACTGATACATGGCGTTCGTTACTGACTTCCAGTAAAAGCGCATTGCAACTGTAGTGTACACAAGTTGGAGTGGGTTTTGTTGTAATGGAATGCGTAAAGGCCTCATGGCATGATCGTCCTAAACAGATTGGTTGAAGACAGAGTCGTTGACAGCACCCTCGACAGGGTAGCCGCCTTATTAAACATATGCTTGGTGAAAGGCACCCAGTTGGCTTCCAGAACTCTACAGAAGTGTTCGACTAGTATCAGCGAATAGTTTCACCGTATGTGAGAGCGGGATGAATACTGGATTTACAGCGCTAAACACTGACAAATATAGCACAGACTCTGCTAGGTATATCACTCATTTATTGACTCAAGCCATTTAAGAATAAGTCTGCTTTGCAATCGCAGTGTGAACATATAGCGGAATCGTTAGGTCGCTATATATCAGGTTCGCCCCGCCCAAAGCATAAGTCGCGAAAAGATGAGTATACGGTGGAGATATACGTTTATTGTCCAAACGTGAAATTCTGCTAACTGAAGGCACCGTAAAAATGGTTCTAGCTTGGGGAAAGGTCTAGTCACCAGCAACGCTCTCTGTGGCGAAAAAGCCGGAAGCGCGCAAATGCATTTCGTCTGGATGACTCAAACACACGTAATCATCGTGCGAACAGACAAGCTTTCTAAGTTTTCTATATATAGGATGATATTATATTTTAATAATATGTAACACAGACAAACAGGACAGTCTCCAGGTCACTATACAGCCCCCCTCCTAGAAGGGAACCGGGAGTGACCCTTCGAACTACGTGAGGGCTGTCCGTCGCGGGCTAGTCTTCTGCGAGACCAGGCGGTGAAACCTGATGCAGTTGTTGTGGAAGAACCAGACGATTGGACCCTAGCTGGGTCCCACCCATGTCCTCCCTTAAGGTGCCGATAAAAGTAAAGCGGAAGATCGTTCGTAACGTACGATCACTTGTGTTTGACCACGAGTGAGTATTCTTCGGTTCTCAACATGAAAAGAAAGAAAGCAACGGGGGAAGTCAGGCATGCAGAAGAGGCGACAGCAACGGACGGGAAAAGCACTTACCGAATGGGCAGCGAAAAGTCAAACAACAACTATTTTTATCGGTTTCCAAAACGTTTTCTCCGTTTTTCTTCTGGCTTTCAAAAGCTTTTGTGATATTTTTGGGGTTTCAAAAGATTTTGCGTCTTTTCGCGTTTTCTGGAGGGTATCGACGCGAATGAAAACCGGAAAACGCTGTTAGAAGCAGAAATGCTAAGCTAAGGTTCTAGGAAACGTGTCGGCCAATGAACCCGACGACCAGACCTAGTAACGTCTTTAGGCGTGGCGGAGTCGAAAGGCTCAGGAGGCGGGTTTCCGGTGGTAGTGTTGCTGTTTGCAGGCTTCTCATCCACCATTGGTTGGGTCGATTCATCGAAGGACGATGGACTGGGGTCGTCGTTCGACTCTGGTTCGACGTAAGTAACTTTGAGGGGATTGCTTGAAACGGTTTCGTGCTTGCCGTTGCGTTCGATGACGAAGAAGCGATCCTTACATTGTAGGACTTTGAATGGACCTTCGTAAGATCGTTCGAATGGTCCGCGTAGATCACCAATGCGAAGGAAGACAATCGGGCAGTGGTGAAGATCTTTGGGAACGCAAGACTTGCGATGCTGTTCCCATACTGCAGTCGGTTTATTGTAATGCATGCTCGTGGCTAGCTGCCGAGAGTAGTGCGCGTCGTAGCGAGGAATGTTCGGGCTTTCAGAGACGAAGTCACCTAGTAATCGAAGTGGATGTCCATAGACCAGTTCGGCGCTGAACGTTTCGAGATCGACTTTCAGTGCTGATCGAATTCCGAGTAGTACCATTGGCAGAACTTCTGTCCAACTAAGTGCATTGGCGGCACAGTGAGGCTTTAGGCTGTCGGTGGAAGCGCTCCACCATTCCGTTTGCTTGAGGATGATAGACAGTTGCCCGGATGCATTTACATCTGAGGACTTTGAGTAGGTCGTTGAATGTCGACCATCCGAGGTGTGGACCACGGTCGGTAATCATAGTGGCTGGATAGCCATGTGAAGCGACCCGGTGCTCGACGAATGTGCGCGTTATGTTCTCAGCGGATACATCGAATATTGGAACAGCTTCAGGCCAACGTGTGGCGCAATCCACCATGGTCAGAATGTAGACCATGCTTTTGGACGGCGGAAGTGGTCCAACGATGTCAAGGTGGACGTGAGCGAATCGAGTTGATATTGACTGGCGGCGTCCTATCAGAGCGGCAACATGTCAATGAACTTTTGATCGCTGGCAAGTCAGACAGTTGCGTGCCCAAAGTCTGAAATCGCACTGCATTTTGGGCCAGACGTATCTGTCGGCAATCATATTGACTGAAACGTGGACGTCCGGATGCGCGATTTTGTACAACGTATCGAAGACTTTTCGGCGAAAAGCAGTTGGTATCGGTGGACGTGAATGTCCGTTAGAGACGTCGCAGCTTATTGTTGCTGTAGACGAAGGAAGCGGTCTAGGTACCTACCTCAACGTGGACTCCTCGCAGGATGACATTAAGTCTGTTTCGACTTGCTGAGCAGCAGCCACAGCTGACAGATCCAACGACTGATCAGTCGGAGCCAGAGGGTTTGCTCTTGAAAGCGCGTCCATCACGACGTTATCCTTGCCAGACGCGTGTTAGACGTTCGTCGAAAACTGAGACACGAAATCTAGATGACGAACTTTACGTGGAGAGTGTCGGGGTGAATGGTTTCGGAAGGCGTAGACGAGTGGCTTGTGGTCTGTAAAGATCGTAAAATGCTTACCTTCGAGAACGTGACGAAAATGGTGAAAGGCGGAGTATACTGCGAGTAACTCGCGGCCAAATGTGATGTATTTTGAATTGGCTGCCTGAAGACGTCGAGAGAAGAACGCTAGTGGCTGCCAATTACCTTGGGAAAACTGCTGTAGAACAGCGCCGATTGCGTCTTCCGAGGTGTCAACGGCTACACTGATTGAAGCGTTCAAGTCGAAGTGATGAAGCGTGACGGCGGAAGCGAGTGCGTTTTTGCTAGCTTCGAATGCTTTTGGTGCTACAGGCGTAAGAGCAGCTGTACCGTTGTTGTGTCCACGCAGAAGGTCGGTGAGCGGTTGCATAAGCTCGGCGCAGCGTGGCAGAAAGCGGCGATAGTATTTGACCATGCCGTTGAAGATTCGAATGGTGGCTAGAGTCGTTGGATGAGGAAAGTCGCGAATTGCCTGGGCTCTGTCCTGCAAAACGGCGGATACCCTCGGAATCAAGTTGGTGTCCGAGGAAGTCAATGTGCGACTGCATGAAAATGCCCCTATCAGGGTAGACGGTGACGTTGTGCGCCTTCAACCGTTTGAACAAGAGTCATAGATGTGATCGGTGTTTCTCTTCCGAAGAACTGGTCACCGAGGTGTCGTCGATGTACCGGTGGACGAAGTCGAGTCCATGTACGACGGAGTCGATGAAGCGTTTAAATGTCTGCGCGGCGTTGCGCAGACCGAATGGCATTAGTAGAAACTTGAATAGTCCAAATGGTGTAATAACGGCAGTTTTCGGTATGTTTCCGTCGGCGAGCGGGATCTGATGATAAGCTGACACGAGATCAATATTTCAGAACACGCGAGCGTCATGAAGACCGGCTGTAATATGTTGTATGTGAAGAATAGCATAACGATCCAGAATTATCACGTTGTTGAGGGCGCGGTAATCGCCACATGGTCCCCAGTCTCCTGACTTTTTCGGGACCATATGTAGGGGCGAAGACCAAGGGTTGCTGGATGGTTGGACGGTCCCAAGTTCGAGCATGTGTTCGAATTCCGCACGGGCGGGTTTGAGCTTGTCCGGAATCAGTCTTCGGTCTTTGGTGGAGACGGGCGCACCCTTGGTAACCATGTGCTGCGGCGTAGTTGCGGCTGCAGTTGACTGAGACGATGAAGGTCGGAAGACTTCAGGGAAACTCTCAAACAACGCGTTGCAGGCCGGCGAGTTGGCAGGGTGTACACCGGACCGAGCGATGCTACATCGCTGGCTATTCCAGCGACAAAAAGTTTCCTTATCTGGTCGATGAGACGATGTCGTTTAACATCGACGAGCAAGTCGAAGTTCTGAAGAAAATCCATCCCGATAATGGGATTATGGACATCAGCGATGAGGAATACCCATCGAAACAGTGTCGCAGGTCGAGGTTAAGCGTGCGCGAGTGCTGATCGTAGACACGGATGCTGGCGCCGTTAGCTGCACGTAGAAAATCAGTCACCTTTCCGGTTGTTGTTGCGATCACGTGGAAGAACGCTGACTTCTGCGTTAGTGTCGACGAGATAGCCAACCCCTGTTTATCGATCAGTGACGAAGAATAGGCGACTGTGTTGACCAGCTACGTTCATCGCCCCTACGTGCTGGTCGGCCCGTTATCCTGCGCGTTGCTTTTGAAGGAACACGGTGGGCGGCACGACTTGTCCTGCGGGCCAAATCGCTGTCCTCCGTAGCTCAGTGGTCTCAACCACGGACTGGCAACAGTTGAGTTGCGGGTTCGAGCGCCACCAGGGTCCGATGGAAAGCGCAGTGCTGACGATTCCCGAAAGGATGAAAAGCGCGTACAGTGCTTTTCCATACGTGTGACGGTTGTCTGAGTGAGCCTAGATGTGACGAATTTCTACCTATATCATTCAACTTCCCCTACTACTCCTCTGTAACAACCAAATAGTGCAGCATTATCCACAGCTAGACAGAGATAAACAACACCTACGTGCATGGTAACAAAAAAATTAGGCAACGCCACTTGCATCTCCTATTTGACTGACACTTCGCTCCGATTACAGAATATCACACGTCAGTATCATCGATTGTCTCGGGGATGGATTTGAATTCATCACTCCCAGGGGGGTGATCGATATGTCCAATACCACGGTACGCGGATGCTTGGGACGTGCCGTCAGTCTGATCGCGCTCAATAGTGATTCCATCGATCCCACGACATCTGGTTGGGAGGCATCAAAAGTAAGTATGTTTTTGCACCTAAGCATTCCCAGTTTTCGTTCCGTACCATGCACCGTTGCAAGCAATCACATCCTTATCTACTATTTGCTACTGTATCCTTGGCGTACCGTTAGAAGGTAAATGTTCATTTTTAAGCAGTGAACGTCCTGATCAGGAAGGAGGTTTCTTTCAAGGTGAGATACGGAATGCGTCTGTTTCTGCTTGCAAAACAATCCAACCGAGTACCCAGAGATGTTAACTAATAGAGACGCAAGCGGAGCACGTAGGCTGTCTTCTACATGCAAAGGTCATCAGCACGGGCGTGGTACTACCTTTGACTTTTAGCCGAATATGGGAATCGAGTGCGAATTGATCGACCAACAAATAAAGGGCCACGTCAAAGAAATCGAACTATTCCGTCAATATGGTAAACCCGTGGAGCGGAACTCACTCACACTGGCAGGAAACCAGACGTGGCAGAATGAGTGCCCTTAACATCCGAAATTAGCATGTTTCGTTTACTAATAAATAGAGTTGATCTATCCTGTCGAGATCCTCCTTATCTACCGAGTACTGGCTTTTTGTAATCCTTCGGTTGGCTGGGCGCGTGACTGAGCAGTCAGACAGTCGCAGCCTCACAGAGCAGCAAACATGAGTACTACATTAACCTAACGATCCCATATTCTTAATGGATTGTGGACGGTAGACCTGACGAATTCGTAAGAAGTAACAGAATGACCAGTGCGACACATGATGGAGAATGCCAATGCCTTTGTACGCAATGGGTGAACGTGTGCTTAGCACATGTAAATTCGACGCCTGATACTAGAAGGAAGGAAGGTTTCGTCTGTTTCGGAGCAAATATTTGTGACCTTAGCGATCGGGCGAAGACGAATCACTTTTCAGAAACCTCGCTAGTAACGTTCACAACTTCGGGAATAAGAGAATAAATCTTCCGTCGTAGGCCCGAGCGACAAAATGACCATTTAGGCAGCAAAGTAATACGTATACTGATTTCATGGTAACTGGTTGCCCAATTTTCAAAAGACGGATAGACCATCCTTACTGACTTATCCAAATACCTTTCTGCTCATAACCCTACTTCTCTGGCGCACGATAAGGGAGCTGCATCATGACGCGGATACCTCAGGGAGTTCTTGATTGTTATATGATATGATTCTAGTAAAGCAGCGCAAAATCTTCCCGTAGCTTCATCCTTCACATCTTTCTGGATAGGGATACACGATCTCGAAACACAAATTCAAATTCATCTACGTCATCCCGAATAGTAAATGTGGAACTTTTTGTATCGTTTGTCTATTACAGCAGTAGCAAAAGAGATCAGCGCGAGTAACGCAACGATTCACCCTATAACATGCTGCAATGGGAAATGCAATTCAAAGAATAAGGCTAGAACGCCAATCCGGAGACGGTGGACATAAATGAGAAAGTCAGTCAGCAAACGGACAACTGAAGCAGAATCCAGATAGTGCATTATATTGCATTTCAGCACTCGTACCTAGCGATACTACGGATTTGCGTCGGAAATCAACCGTTGCTACAACAAAATACAAAATAATATCAAGTGTTAGGGTCAGTTACAGCGTCCCAAAGGGGTTTAACCACACTTACAATCAGCCGTGCAGCCAATACATCTGGGATCGTTAGACAGTTGCTTTGTCCGGCCGGCACCTCTGGGCAACATGCGTTTTCCCCGAGTTCCTCGACGTTCGACACTGCGATGTGTATTGGTTGGCTTATTCCGCTATCAGCCAACTACTGTATGGCTGATCAAATTGCTTACGTCAACCAGTAGTTTGTGAAGCCATCTTAACGCCTAACATGTTAGCAACCAACCATAAGGCTGTGTAGACGAAAAGTGCTTGGTGTCGCATCCGAAAGTTCTTAATGTGGGATTATGGATGGAGAACGAATGTCAAACGACTGGCCACTTGATTAAGTGCGTGAAACGGAATTGTCCAATCGCCTTTCCATCCAGTCACGAAGTACGCTGAAAGCCACTGCACGTGACTTCAACTCGGGTGCCAATGATTGTGTACGCCACAAATAACCTTAAGAAATTAATTCAGTGCAATCTGTATTCAGTGATGACCTTTAGCAATCTGTTGCTTCGAAGTCTCTACTATTGTTGACATTGTCAAGACGTGGTGAAGGATTAGTGAGGGTACCGATCAGTAGCTGTTGCAGTGCTACATAGCTAGGCACATCATGGGGAAACCCGAAGCCTACTGCGGTTCAAGCTGAACGCGCGTAGACAAACTCCACATGGTTGGCGGCATCCGGTTTCGGATTTGTCTGTCACTGTGGCCAGACACAGGACGCCTGCGCCTACAGAGGGACCATGGATGGCTTGCGCTGCACCACCCACAGTTCCAACCACACGCCCCATATCCAGTGTAAACCCAAAGGAATAAGACCGGGAGGCATGTGGATGGGAGCCACGTTTCATCAACGGAGCCGGCCCACACTCCTTCACAAGCAAACACAAGCACGCTGTATTTGGGAACTCAAGCGCACACAAGGCGGTGGCTGGACCGTAGTCCGCTCCACACTAATTGCATGGAACCACTCTTCGAGCTTAGCACGGCCATAAGGACCGTGCACCCCGTCCCCTCCAACAACGACCAACTGTCTCCTGGAGCCAGTATGGACGAGGTAGTGGGTAATAGACAGGTAGGCACCTTGTCAACATGCACATCAAGCGCAGCCACACCGGGGATATCAAGCAACAGCCAATCACCTGGAACGACAAGATGAAATAAAACAAATCCAATAATGTATACAGATACGGTGGCATAACTCTAAGCTAAATAAGCATATGAAGTAAGTTGGCTAGCAACGAATCCGCGATGAGAAAAAAATGTCCACAAGTTAGTGAAAAATGCTACAAAACGCAACAAAGTTACCGAAGATAAGCGCAATTAATGTAAGCAACGTGGCCAGTTAATAGAAGAGTATTCAGGTAGGCAGAACAAACCAAATAAAGTGGAATGAAATTTAGCCAGCTTAAAAAGACCTAGTTTAAGCGTAAGTTGGTTTAGCCCAACTGCGGTGAAGAAGCATCAAGAATGCAACATCAGCCTCAGCATGGGGCACACAAACAAACGAACTCCACATACTGTTCCAGGTACGTACAGTCATAAGCTAAGCGAACATGTGTTGCGGCGCTGGTTTGTCGAAGATGACCTAGACACTGGGATTCAGGATGATTTGGGTTGTCACATGTATTCAAAAAAGACATCGGAGACTAAGTAACGACACGCCGGACTGTTGCGGATGGAGTTCGATCACTCATATCTCAACTTTTTATCAACTACACAACATATTCGCACTCTAGTGGAGTAATGCAAAGCAAACGTGCTGTTACAGCTCTGAGGATTCTCAGACTCGGGCAATCAAATATGTTTTTGAATTATACCGTGCGACGTACGGATAGTAACTGGACACATCGGGATGCGTTCAATGAACAATACTGCCCATCCTGAAGCAGAAACTCGCGGAGTCACACCCATAAATTGACACAGTGGGGCATATGACATCGGATATTGGAAAAGTTGCTTTCCTTTTCCTGTATACCATAGCTGGAACAATGTTCGAATCACATGTTTCTGTGCCGACCACATCAATATTAAGTATTGATGACGCACTCGATCACACACATTTAGCCATGGAAAATTAGCTAACCTTTCGATTCCTAAATACAAGCCTTGGTTTTACTGGAAGACACTTATTGGTGCCATGATAAAAGTTAGAAAGCAGAGCCCTTTGCTTAGATACAATTGAAATGAACCAATCGATCTCTTGCCAGCAAAGGTACGATCTGTCTGATTTCCCTGTGCCCACGAAGACACTCGTCATATAGCCCGATGGGACTCGAGAATCTCAAGATACCTTATTTACACCAATTCATCGCTCATGTTTATACCCAAATTACTTATGATACCTTAAGTTAATCGGTGACACAAATTTAAGGGGCCGTTGCTGGGGGTCGCTGCGTCCTCTGCAAGGCAGTAACATACACGTCAGTGATGGGTGAGTCTCACCATAGCGCAATTTGCAACTTGTAGTCATGTGGGTCAATACCCGACTGATAAAAGTGCGATCGCACGTTCTAGCCCCACACGATGTAGATGGAACGCGCTTCACTGACAAGAGACGAGAAGATACAAAACCGCCTTGCGGCGTTTTACCAGATGTGCTCTATGACAGTGAACTTGCAACGAACTCACATCGCAGTTGTTGGTTATGTGAACGCATAAAGTTACTTGATAGGCTTATTAGAGAAGCTTACTTATTGGATGGGTTATTAGTTAATTAAACGTTTTGCCAGTTTTGCTGGTGGTTGCTGACGTTTTAGGGATGTAACCAAATTAGTCTCAAATTAAAGCAGTATGAATGCTACCAAGTATGGACAAAGCCAAGTACCCGGACAGAGAATAAGATGATTTTATTCCTGTTACGAGGTAATAGGACAACAAATGTGTACGTTAAAGACCATGAGGACTTATCGTCATTGATTTTGCACATCCGGTATCCAGTATGCGAGCTGGGATGTGCAGTTGACTGAGGGCACTAGAGGGAAGACTGCGAAGGAGTTTTAGCTGCAGATTCTCCGTGCCTCAGGTTAGGCCCAAACCAGTCCGACGGTTTTCTGGCCGATATTCCGCATACTGACTGCTGTGGGGAGAGGTGTGTGTAAAGCTACCAATAGGGTTTTCGTATTTTACTTTGTCCATAGTTATTGTGCATGGCTCGACAAATTCCCTAGTGTCAGGTTACATGAAGAGAAGGGTACATGTGGGTCTGCGGCTGGCTTTGACCTTCAGGCGTTAATTATATCGGAGGTCGTAGGGTTGCAGTCGCCGGTAACCACATGGTCTCACTGTGTGTGTGTGTGTGTGTGTGTGTGTGTATGTGTGAAAGCGAGAACAATGGAAAGAGTAGCGGAACATTTAACAGGGTTACGTCGAGGTCGGTACCACGCTAAATGAAGGACACTGTCATATAACGTGAAAGACAAAAGTGAAAGAATGTGTATTTAGTCTAAGTAACGCGTGACTCTCACAATTTCCACAACTGAATTAGGTAACTTTACAGATAAGTGTCGATCACATTTCCAGCCCGTACCGCAGCACAAGTGGCTGAATCTAAGCCCTATCCAAAGGATCGTCATTTTGCTAAAACACTTATTAAGTCCAAATTCGGAGTTTGAATCATTCACCTTGCAGTCGGATTGCGACACGCAATCACTATTGGGAACTAGGTCGATTTTGAAGTAGACCTCGGTCATTCCGAGCATTCGGAAGTTGAGGTGTTTCGGGCTTACTCCCAAGAATAATCAAACTACACTGTCACGATGAACTTCAAGTGCCTGAGTAACTGACCTGAATGGCTGATTGTGTTCTCTTCAAATGACAACTCACATGGTGTTAACATAATAAACAGATACCTTTGCCCTTTGTGAAATAGTAGCACTTATAGGATTATTATCCGTTTCATACTGACCGAGTGAGCCACGCAATTACTCACTCTGATCCTGGCCGTCTACGTGAATGGAAAGCCTGTGTGGAGTACTGTTTCTGAGTCCACCCCGGACCCGACAGCAGTACGTCTGCTGCAAGAACTTCCGAGCTTGGCATGGGTCCATACCAGTTGCTAGGTCCGCACTTAGTGTGCCGTCGTCCCATAGGGCAGCCAACGGATCAGTCTGCAAACGGTTACCTGCAGGAGCGGGCAACACTTATTTCTACAGTAGGTTACGCGAACATAACGCGAAACATTACGCAATCGATATAACTGTCCACACCGTTAGTCTGGTCATTGCTACCGAGATCTTCGTTAGTGAGTAGATCTAAGCTGGAGAACTGAGTGTGCAGCTCATTTCATACTCCACAGTTGCGTTTGTTCCTATTATTCATCAAAGACCTCGCTAGGATGTTCCAGTCAGACTGTATACTGTTTGCAAGTGACGTTAACATCTGGCATAAGATCAATACACGCGGCACTGTAAAGAGATCTCGACCGGGCCCACAAAGGTCCTCCGAAAACCGGATCCAGTGTAACCTGGTGAAATGCAAAGTTCTAAGCATACACCATCAGTGTACTCACGAATGTCTACTAGGAGAGCAGCTGCTTCAATATGTTACGCAGGAAAGCGACCTCGGGGTAATCGTGCAGGATGATCTTGGCTACTCGAAACAGGTCGAGAAAGCATCGAGCGGAACCAATCAGCATCTTGGCCTCCTATGAATGGCTTTCGGGAAATTCGAGCCATCAATCCCTCCACAAATGTTGAACTCCTACGTGAGGCCACATGCGGAGCAGGCGATCAAGGCCTGGCGACTTTGGCGCAAAAACGATGCTGATGCGCTCGAAACCACGACGTAGGGCAACGAAAATCGTTAGGTGCTTGTTTCACTTCTTCTACCAACGCAGACTGTGAGCCCAAGCGGTTAATACAGGCGCCTGCAAGGAGACCTTATTGTGGTGTACCAAATACTGATTTATCCCAATCACGCCTGTCGCCATCTGTTGGAAGTCAGTCACAGTAACAATCTGAGATGCCACCAGCTCAAACTGACCACACCACGGTCGATTTGCTTGCCGACAAAGCTTTTTCTCCTTTCGGATATTCAGACCATGGAAAGCTCTTCCTTCGTACGTTTTTTCACTCCCACATTAACCCTTTGTAATAAACGATTGGACCACATTCACCTTGCGCGTCATAGTCTGTTTCCATGGAAAACCGAATTAACGTAAACAGTGTGCTCACCAGCCCGTCCGTTATGTAGCGATGAGCGGACCATCATTTGCGCTTGTGAATAATTCGGTGAGTCACCTCATACCGGAATTTCCAATTCATCCTGCCACTTTAAACGATCATTTTATAAACCCTTATTCCGTTACTCCTACGGGGCTTATCAAATGATGCATTTTTGCATGGTATCAATCATTGCTCCCTGATCATTGTACTTGTTTCAACCGCAAGTCTACCGTGCCTTAGAGCTTGTGTTACCTCACCCCTGTTTTTCACACGTTCACAGAAATTGGAACACCTGCGACCCACCGTGTACCCGAGACAGGGATCCTTGTTGCCCGCTCCTCAACCTTCCCCCGGATCACCACGGACGGTAACAACCTCAGACTTGACTCGCTTACCATTGGAGGAGTATCCGTACAGCGTCGAACACAATATCCTCGGTTTTACTCCAATGTGTGCGTCGGAGAAGACCCTACACGTGTTGGATCGAGTTGTGGTACAGTATCAGTACAGCTGGGTCGGATTGCAAATATGTACTAAAATCTTTCGTTCCCAGATTCCAGGAAGACGCTTGGCTTGGAGATTTCTGGCAGTGAAACTTGGTCAGGATCAACTTGCAAAGGTTAGCTCAGTATCCACATATCATAAAGCTCACTGAGCCGTTCCTAATTGACCACCGAAATGTTCTTAGTACCTTATTCCGCATATATACTGTCACGGGTAGCGGCTGCCGCAAGCTATCAGTGACACAGTGAACCGATTGATATTGTCGCCGACACTAATGTCGTGAGTGGGAGGATATCGAAAAGAGATGCTAAAAGCAGAAAGGCAAAAGTTGAACCAACGGTATTAGTGGTATTTGTATCAGCAGTAATATGGATTGTGGGAGTTTTAATCGTAAGGTTGCGCCTAGCCACCCCCGCGTGCATGGCGCCAAGAGTTGATAGTGATAGTCTAAAAACTGTCAAAGCACAATGAAATAATGGAACAATGGTTTATTACGGGTAAAAAAGCATTCCTTAACAAGTCCCGTAGGATGGAAATTATTGCGAAAATCAATTGCATGATAAAGTGAAAAGAGTTGTGGTGGACTCACCATGGACTTTTGTGGAATAGCGGAGATGTTAGCGTATTAAACGCATAAATCCATAAATCCATTGGTTAGGCGTTTGGCAAGACACCGTTTGATTGCGTTTTGTAGCCCCTGGCAAACAAGTCCTAAAATGAAATGCAAATGAGACAGTGCATCGTCAACACGTTTTTTTTAATATCGCCAAATTTGGAGCAGAGACGACATAATTAGGGAGGGCGTTCCTAGGCTGACACACGCGGAGAGAAAAGAAAGTTTTACGGCATTCAAGCCTGCTATACTGAATTGTCAGTTTCAGAGGGTGACCTCTTAGTTTAGTGTTGTGGTTCAATTCCAGAAGCGGACAGCAAATGTGGTTTGGGTTCTTCAGAATCTGGTAAACCATTATGAGATCCCCCGCAAAAGCCGACATCGACTGCTGTACATTCTTAGAGATTTCAGTCTAAGCAGATAAGGCAGATGAAAGAGGCCACTGACGTTCTTGGGTGCCCTTCGCTGAGGAGTCCCTAGAGCAACGAGATCCTGTTTCTGCCACGGCTGCCACGCCTGAATAGCATATTCCACGTGAGGTCGCACGTAGGCGTTAAGCATTTGGGGAAAGACTGAGGGTTCAGACCTACCGAAGGCTCTGCGAAGAAGGCCGAAGTGTTGATTGCCGGTTCTCGTCGCCCTTTCTGTTTGTTTTGAACACAATATGCTTTCCCGAAGGGTGAACGCATTGGTTATTCGGACCATCTCTTCGGGTCCATTCCTCACTTCAACCGTGAAACTACCAGATTAGCGCCTGGAAAACTAGCCAAATTGCATGACTGCATCTGGCTAGACAGAACCGTCCAAATGTGTTGAACCGCGGCACTCGTGTCAGCGTAAGTGTAGTTGACATCAGTATGGTGCAGCAGATGCGAAAGAGTGCGGTCAGCCGAAGAGCTTGGTGCTATGCGATGCGCTGATGTTAGGCTGTGCTGTCTACCACAAAAGTGTTGGCCGTCAATGGACGGCACTACCTGTTTTCCTCAGGAAGGCCAACTGAACGTCGCTGTGGAGAGCTCCTTTACGCATCTGCTTGAATAGGACGAGTTTACATAGTGTAAAGATTAAATCAGCAACATGTTCTCCCGTGTATATATGCCAAGTGTGTTGCACTTAGACGGAGTACCGCTTAGATGACTCTCCCCATTTGGAAGGATTATCTTCTACTGCACAATGTTCCATTCGGAATGGCTATTGCGTGTGATTGCAAATTAGGAGACAAGCGACCATTGAAGGGAGGTCCATGAACTGGAGGGTTGAAAACAGCGGGATAAAGTGAGGTTGGAACGGGACCATAAGGAGTAAAAAGTGCGAGACAGCGAACAGGAAGACTGGAAGACCTGAGCAGTAACATCCAAATCCCTACCCACCCTGCTCAATGTAGTGGATAGGGCTCTGTTAATTATCCTTTGCGCCGACTAGAGCATCAAGGAATTGTTTGAGGAAGGGTTCACCCAATACTATGAGTCATGACCAAAACAGGTGTGTTATCTTTTCATGGCGGTGGTCCTCACTCAGTGGTAGTGAACTGACCAAAGAAAACCACAAGGACTAACTGGACGATGAGACAAGAATGATGCACAAAAATTTCGAAAGTTGGGTCTTCATGGGACACTGATCCCTATACTAACAACATCCAGTGGTACTGAAAGGTGTCCTCTTGCATGCTAGTTCACACCATATCATGAAAAGTCGAGCAATGTTATGCCAGTCGTAATGCATGTGTTGCAGAATGATGGAGTAAATACCCTAGATATCCGCATGTTTCCGCATCTCGGAGTTAGCCAAAGCCTCCAATTTGCTTCAAAAATCTGAGGCTTTTACTGTCATATTCTTTTAAAACGGTGACCCCTCATCACATCTCCAGCAAGATAGAGAGGGAGTAGCCTCCGTTGCTCTGTGTTCTCGCTCATTATCGGTGCTGTTAGTGATTTGACTTCCTATGCCTGATCCACCACACCAACCGGCATTTCGCGCTCAGATCATGCGGCTGTGTGCCCTTCAAAGTATGAGTCGCAACTCCCGAGTTTGTCTATTGCTTTGGATCCGTTGTTTCAAGTGCTACCATAAACGTGACACGAGTACGATGTGCCACAGCGAAGCATGAGCTATTCTGCCCGCAGTGCACAAAAGCAGTTGACTCTTTTGATTTGTCATGCCTACCTGCAAGTGTAACCCAACTCACCGACGGGAAAGTGTACGGCACGCACCACAAGCAGGGATTACTATTGTGCTGTTATTTATTGACATAGGCGATTTTTTTATTTTTCTGACGCTCCCTCAGCCAGGAGCGATTGATACCTTCCGTTTCGTAGAGCTCGCATCACTGACACAATAGCGGCTAACGCCACTCTTTGACAGCGCGCTTTAGGAAATAAACCTCAGCACCGTTTAACTACGTTGTGGATTTCACACATAATGTACAAATATGAATACGGCATTCGCTTCGTTCACTTCCATTAATTATGTGTGGGTGGGCAGACAATATTTTGGGTACTGGATGAGCAGTCGGGTGTGGAAAAATATCAGCTCAGATTTGCAGTAGCAAGACCATCACAATGATGCCGGACTCCATCACAATGAGGCTGGATCTTACAGAGGTGCGGTGGTTTGTGTGCCACAGCGATCCATTGAGCTACTCTGGGTGGTGGTTTTCTTTGCACCCTCAGAGCCACTCATAAAAACTCAGCCTCCTGATCCTCTAGATTGGGGTTGGAATGAGGGTGGCTCCTTACTCCTTAAAACGGACTCCTTGTAGTCCAATGCCAAACCCGCTGCATTGCGGTAAGGTTTATGAACCAAATGCTTTGATTGAGAACCCTAACCGTTCTCTAGTCTAGGTCTGGGAAACCTGACAGCATTCTGCTAATGCAATACAATGAATTTCTCCTAAAACAGTTTCTTGATGCTCTGGCCACCGCAGAGGATAATTAACAGTGACGTATCTACTGCATCGAGCATGGTGGATAAGGGTTTGGAAGCTACTGCTCAAGCCCACCCACCTTCTTATTCCCCCACTTACGTATTTTATCTCTTACCATCCCATGCCGGCTTCAATTTTATCCCCCTGTTTTCGAAACGCCCCAATTCCTGGCCCTCCCCCACCTTGCTTTGCTAGGCTTTTACCTTCTAGTTTCAACTGGTATGTGAACGATAAGCGCCATTCTTGTCCTATCGACAAGCCCATGTCCAACCAAACGGTCAAGCCCAATGCACCGGCTTCCATTTGGAGCCCACGATCCTCCTTCAGATTGGCATCCCTCAATGTACGCACATTGCTACAGATCGGTCAACAGGCAGCACTTGCCCGAACATTAGTGACCCTATCGATCCATATCTGCTGCTTATCGGAGACCCGCCTGCAAGACTCTAGCTTTCTGCTCACTTTGCGATCCCCTTCAGGTGACAACAACAGTACTATCTTACTGTGCCTATCCGATGACGATACACCTTCGAGCACCGGCCAAACCGGTGTTAGTATCGCCCTGAGTCCCCACGCTTAAGTTGCTCTGGTTGGCTGGATTCCAAGCAGTAGCCGGATGTGTGCGGGCCGATTAGCTAGCTCGTTCAAAGCTTCGAAGCCGTAAGGACTAATAGGTGTCTATTCGTCATCGCTGCCTATCCACCTACAAACTCTAGCGATGATTCGGTAAAAGATGGCTTATCACCAATTGAACGAACTGCTTCGCCACAGAAGAAGCTCGGACGCTGTTGCGCGGACTGGGGATCTGAACGCTCAAGTTGGAGAGTTGTCCACTTAATAACTGCATCTGGGCGGCCAGCATAGTGTAGGCTCTCGTAATGATAACGGTCAGCGGTTACTTCATTTGTGTGAAGATGCTCGCTTGATTCTTGCGAGCACTAATTTCCGACACGGCACCCGCCGGAGAGTGACTTGGCGCCCACCAGTCTCGAACCAACTATGGACGCAAATCGATCACATTGCGATAGGTTACCGACGGAGAGGCTGCGTCCATAACTGTCGCTCAATCTGGAGCACAGGTGTAGACACCGACCACGCACTAGTATGTGCTGACATGCGGATGCGTTTTGGTGGATACCTAAGTCGACGTTGTGAGTTCATTGACACCAGTCAACTGACGAAACCAGCTGTTCTGAATGCCTATCAAAGTGCGCTGTCATGCGAGTTGAGTAAGCGCTCACTAGATGCAGTTGAAACTAACTGGTCTCATATTCAGCAGTCTTTGCTAGCAGCAGGCAGGTCCTCATGTGGTAAGTCCAATCGCCGACATGGACTGGATCTCTTCGCAGTCTCTGGAACTTCTCCATGTTCGCCGGTATATTCCGGCGGGAAGCAAACACAATGAAACTCGCAAAGAGCTTCTGGCAACACTCCGTGTTAGCCAGAAGCGAGACCGCGAATCCTGGTGGTCTCAACATCCATCAGAGATGGAAATGGCCGCTGCCCTTGGTAACCAATTTCAGTTATTCCGGCTGATGCGGAAAATGGGCAGCAGAAGACCTGGTGTTAGTAAAACTAT